GAGCCCCGCTTCCGGAGCTCCTGGACAAAAGCTGGAGGAGAGACAGAGAAAAGAGTTTATGAGAGGGGAAGCCCGAGTCCACCTCGAATGGACCATGGACAGAGCCCAGCCGCAGGGCATCTTAGGCTGGAGAGGCGGCTGGGCCAGTCAGAGCCCTCAGCTTTACTGGGGCTGGACCCCTGACTCCAGTGCTGAGCCCTTGGGACCCCGACCTCTCCCCTCAGCGCCCCCACTCACCTTCTATTATCTCCTCTTTCACTTTCTGAAGCTCCTTCCGCACCTCTTCCAGCAGTTCCTGTGAGGCAGGAAAAGGGGGCATCAGAAGGTTCCCCAAGCCACGCACCCCAACCCTCATTGGCTGGACTTTTTCCTGGGGGAGGAGTTTGCCACACCCTCCAAAGTTCCCACCCTAGAGGCTCTCCCCAAAACAGGGGCAGAGTTGGAGTGAGCACTGGATTTCAGGAGGCTCCCTCCCTCCCTCATTCATTTACTCCCATACGGTTAGCAGAGATGGTCAGACACAGGGATCTTAGATCACACCTTTCCTGGGGCCCTCCCCCCTACCTGCTTGATCCTGTCTAAGTCAGACTCCTCATGGGTACTGGGAGTCGAGGTAGGGGCCTCACAGCTCATTGCTGATGTGGAAGACTTCGTCCTGAAAGAGATGGAAGGATAGGTACAGAAATAGGGTTTGGGAGGATGGGATGACCCACATTATCCCCCTCCAAAAGAGCATTATTTCTACCAAATTAGCATGATCCATTTAAACTGTCTCGTTTTGTGGTGGAGAATGAAGTATCCTTCCTAGAAATAGAGTTCATACATCTGAGCAGGAAGGGGCCTGGGAATCCAGCTGCTATTTGTACAACGAGCGTTTTTAGACATCATTTCACTTGTACTTCTCATAATAACCCTGGGGTATCTGCAGGGAATGTTTGCAAACTGAGACTCGTATCCAGTGGGAAGACCGCTAACCCCTCTGGTCAGAAGATGTGGATTTCCACTGTTGCTCAGCTCCTGTCTGTATCACCGAGAGCAGGTCACTTAACTTCCCTCAGACTCGGTGTCCTCACTTGTAAGATAAGGGGGCCGGACTTCCTGGCCAATATAAGAGGCTGGATTTGAACCCAGATCTCTACTGACGTGAGGTCCACCTCACTAGCCCTTGTAGAAGCCAGAGAAACCTCTCCGCCCTCCGTTGTACCTCATGGTGATCCAAGCCCAGAGAGTGATCAGCACCCGTGTGTGGTGTCCAACAGTGAGTTGGGCAGGCCAGTGTAGAGACTGGACCTGGCGTCTTGGGCCTTCCGCCATGGGACCGCCTAGCGGTAGTGCCCCACT